AATTGCTATGTACAACTGGGCTATGGGCAGATGCCCAATTTTAAGAGGAGTATTTCTGGGTTGATATATTCATTTACTCATATCTCATGTTCTCCTACTCCTTGAGGCAACTTAGAAAGATAAGGGAATAAAGTTAGTAGTAAAGGAAATGAACAAATGGAAACCAAGATCAGGAAGGTACTAAATGAGTAGCTATGACTGAAGGCAGAGGTTGCACATCAAGCTTTGATTGTCGCAGTTTGAGTAAAGAGGGAATACAGATCAGCTCCAGCTTCACAATGACCATAATACAAGCAAGCTGATGCAAGAAGTGGGTCTTCTGGCATCTTTTCATGTGTCTGTGCGTTGTCTGCATGTCTTCTTTGGAGAAATATCTATTCAGGTCCTTTGCCCATTTTTTAAATTGGATTCTTTGTTTTTGTGGTGTTGTGTGAGTTCTCTATAAATTTTAGAAATTAACCTCTTATAGATGTATCATTAGCAAATATGTTCCCTCATTCACTGGGCTGTCTTCTCATTTTGTTCACGGTTTCCTTTGCTGTGCAAAACTTTTTAGTTTACTGCAAATTAAAACCACAATGAGATCACCTCATGTCAAAATGGCTATTATCAATAAATCAACAAACAAGTGTTGGTGAGGATGTGGAGAAAAGGGAATTTTTGTGCATTATTTGTGGGAATGAAGACTGGTGCAGCCACCATGGAAAATAGTATGGAGTTTCCTCAAAAAATTAATAATGGAACTTCCTTATGGTCCAGTGAGTCCATTTCTGGGAATATATCCTAAGAAACCCAAAACACTAATTTGAAAAAATATATATGCTCTTATGTTCATAGCAGTGTTATTTACAATAGGCAAGATTAGGAAGCAGCCTAAGTGCCCATTAGTAGATGAGTGGATAAAAATACCATTATACACAATGGAATGCAAGTTGGCTATAAAAAAGAAGGAAATCTTGCCTTTTGCAACAGACCTGAATGGATAGACCTGAAGAGTATTATACTAAAGGAAATAAGCCAGTAAGAGAAAGACAAATACCATACGATTTCACTGATATGTGGAATCCAATGAACAAAATAAACTAACACAAAGCAGAAACAGACTCACAGATAGAGAACAGATTGACAGCTGTCAGAAGGGAGGGGGCTGTGTGAAAAAGGGGAAGAGATTAAACAAAAAACACTACATACAACAGTATGGTAATTGCCTAAGGGAGCGGTGGGGGTGGAATAGGGCAAAGGAGGAATAAATGGTGGCAGAAAGAGACCTGACTTTGTATGGTGAGCTCATGATGCAGAATGCAGATGATGAGTTATGGACTTGTACACTTGAAACCTGTCTGGTTTTATCAACCAAGGTCACCCCCAATAAATTCAATAAAAAGGATATTTCTTCAATTCCACTGAAGCCATACACATTTTCTTTTTTATCACTTAGCATTTTCTTTCTCTCCTCTCTCCCTCAGAGAACTACATTCTATCTATTCTCTCTTAGCCAAGAAGGAGCTCAGCCTTCCACAATATATATTCAAATAAAACCATCAGGAAGAATTGGAGAACAAATAAAAAGGAGTAGGAATATTCTTGCTGCTGGGATGTGAATGACACATCCAGTGTTGGTCAGGTTTCCTGAAAATGTCCCTTTGCCGTATCTACTAACGGGCAAACTTGAAAAAATGGAGGAGATGCCAGTAGGATGCGCTGACCTCAGGCAGAAAACTGGGAATACCAAGCCTGTGGTTTGAGGGCATTCCATACATTTCCTTATCAAAGCCTTTTACACTGTAAGTTTGTGCTTAGTGTGCTCTTTTCCCTGCCAGCTGGTATGTTCCATGGTGGTTATTCAGCTATTTTATCCCCATTACCTGGTACAGTATGGTGTTAATAAATGTTTGAGAACAAAGGAATAAATGAATGAATAAAGGAAGATTAAAATGAGAAGAAGACATTTTAGGGCTGTGCTGAAATAGGGTACTTATTGGAGTTGGACTGAGTGACCCAAGCCAGGTCAGCTCCAGGCTTGGGTGAATTGTGCGTATATCTGTAAGTTGCAAAGACTGTAGGAATATACTATGTAAACCTGAAACAATCAAATGGCTTTCTGCTCTGCAATGCAAGTCTGGCCAGCTTGAGAAACTCTGGTTGTGAAAGTCAGTATACTGATGTGGTAGATTGTAATGGAGTTAAAGTTACTAAACATTGTTCTTAAATTATGGAATTCTTGGGTGTGCTAATATGTTCCAGTTGCTGGGTACCACATACACCTAGAAATAATGCCTTTGGGTTTAGGATAGGTATCTGAACACTAATCCTGGTTTTTGCCCTCTTCCTAACTTGATTCTGATCACCTTTATTTTTCATGTGTTGAGGACCTTACTTTTTAGCAACATTTCTGGATATTTGTGATAAAATGAAGAATAAGTCCATATACCCTGATCTCACATAGCTCAAGTTCATGGAGTTGTGGGCAAATAAAGTTCAAAATTTTAAATTTTCCTGTAGTTTATGGTGTAATTTCTTGGAAATCCCAGTAGCCTTCTAGCCAGTCGCCAGTCTACAAGACTGACTACTTAGTTTTTACTTCAAGCCACCCACTCAAAACCACAGCTTTATGTGCCTCAGGGCCATCCTTTCACGTCAGGCTCCCCAGTACTTACCCCGAGGACCAGCCCTCTCGTCAAGTGTATCACCAGTCTGAGGATCCCTTCAGGCATTCCTTTCCCCATCCTCCTTTCCCATCCTCCTGGTCTGCACTCTTTTATTGCTGCACTAGGTAGGGTAGTTTACAGCACTTGAAAGACAGGATGAATGCAGCACAACTCAGCTCTAAAATTCATCAGGAATATGACCTTGCAAAATAATTTAACCTCGCTGATCCACAGTCTGGAAATAGAAATAATATGCCTTCCTCTAAATGTTTCTATGAAGGTCAAAGAAGATGAGATATTATTTTATCACAATGCCTGGCATAGCAGCTCCTGTTTTGTTTTGTTTTGTTTTTCTTTGTTCGTGTGAACATGCATATGGCTGGTGAACTATGCTTGAAGAAAGGAAGTAGAAACCTAGGAAAAGTAAAGAATTCATTGAATTTATAAATTGGGGTGGTTTTGCTGAAGAGTATCCTTCAGGAAATTATTGAAAGCTTTGAGTTATCAGTAATATTTGGGACAGAGTGACCTATATATTTTGGGAAATGTAGACAATGATGTTGTTTTCATAAAGTTTTTTGCCTATTATCTTGTATTCATTTTACACTACAAAATACAGTGAACAAAATTATATGTAGGAATAAATTTACAATAACTAATAACCGCCATGACCATTAATTGTTTTGAATTCAAATCTTTCAAGATGCTTTATTAACCTACCTCTATGTGGCACCCAGGTGAAAGGTTTGGCAATTAAATATAAAATTACATGAAGAAAAGCTTTTCTAGAGAGAGGAAAAAGACAATTTCTCTCATCTTTCTTTGAATAATGCTAGTTTCTGTGCATGTATTTTTGAATAGCACTGAAGTTTGGGGTGCCATTGTACTCTTTAACTGTTGATTTGCAATTGAAATCCTTTGAGTATTCGAGTATTCCTAGTGTAGTCGAAGTGACAATTTAGTTACATTTTTATTCAGTCACTCCCCCACCCTTGCTCACACTTGCTGTTCCTGAGGCTATGCGAGTCTTTATTAAGGTTATAAAATGCTTCGACCTTCATAAAAGGCACAGTGACTTCCCTTGAGGTCCAAAGCATTAATGATGAAGTGAAATGCAAAATCATTATCTGAGAACAGCATCTCTCGTACCACAGAAGCCATTCAAATCATCCAGTTGAAAGGCAAACTTATCCAAAAGCTAATAAAGAATTCTCTCTGGCAGTTGAAATATTGGGCAAATTGCTTTTCAACCTATGATAGGATGTTAACTGTGTGACAGCTAAATGATGCTGGTGGTTCACTATATTCCACCCCTGCTCGCTGGGTAATTGATGGTCTTTGGGTTCAAAGGTCACAAGTTGTTGGTGAGTTTGCAATGAGAAACTTCACTGTGGAAAAGCACCAGCATTAAGGGTTTAATTCTTGCCACTGTTTCAGTACCAAAGGCTCTAAGAGGAGAGTCATGCTTCATTCAGGGTTAGCATCACAGTTGCGTGAAAAGTTGTAAGTGCATCGGTGGAAAATTAAATGCTGACAACATGAGAAAATGTCACTTCTATGAAAACCAGCTTATAAACAGAAGGGCTTACCTTTCCCCTTCTAAGAGAAGGCAGTATGCACTAACATATGCAATGCCCATAGGGGATGGTGGTGACAGATAGGTGTCTCCAGCAAAACCAATCTGTTCATTTTGTCTCAGATTTGAGGACTGTGTTAAAAAGCAGCTCAAGTGTTTGAGAGCTGGTTACCCTACCAACTAGCCCTTACCCTACCTTCAAAACATTTTTGTGCATGACAAGAGTTCTTTGTGAAAACATCAGAAACCAAATTCCTTATTGTCAATGAGCACATTTGTTATGAGGTAGGTGTCCTTGGGCTTCTATTAAATAACATTGATGATTTGATATATACTATCAGAAAAACAAAGAGTACCCAAGTTAAAAAGGATCTAAAAAATAGGCTTCATGGGTTTTCATCTAGTTCATGAATTCATGGAGAACAACTAGTCCAAAAGGTGGAAATGTAGTTTGATAACCATTTTCAATATTATGTAAAACTTGCTGGAAATCATACATTTACTAGATGGTATGAGGATCAGTTTTATTTGTTTTTGACCAGTTTGTTACCAACTCAGGGTGTCAGTAATGTTATTATCTATGTTCTCAGTGCTATTTATAAGTTCTTTTTGGTATAAAAGTAACATAGGAAGTACATAGAATCAGTTTTCTGTTTAGGCTCAAGTACTGTGTGGTGCTAGTACTATATAGTACTGGTAATTATGTAGTTCTTGATTCTGTTGAAGCATTTTCTCATACAAACTAGGTATTAGAGCATAAGAACCAGCATCGTTGCTCATTTCAGCTGCATATGTATGTATTAAAGTTGGAATGTACAGAGAAGATTAGCATGGTCCCCTGAGCAAGGATGACAAGCAAATTCATGAAGTGTTCCATATTTTTAAAAGGAAAGGTTATTTCAACACATGGACTATTTTTGTACTAGAATTTGCTTTCTTGCAATATAGAATATTTTGTACATCTTATAAGTTACTTGAGCATTGGTCACTTGCAAGAGATTTAAACTTCAATAATTCTGAGAGCTACATTGAGAAATAATTGTCTAAAATAACTTATCTATTTTTATTTGGTTTTAATATTTCAACATTTGTAAAAAGAGACTGTTTTAGGGGAGGGTGTAGCAGAGAGATGGGCAATTTCTTTTGTAAGCGTAAACTAAATGAACACATATTGAATGCAAAAAAAGAAAACCCCCAAAATCAACATATAGCACTGGACTGAGAATCGGGAGTGTTGGCTTCTGGTAATGACCTGGTCAATATATTTGACAATTTTTACAAGTTGTTTTATTTACTGAAGTTTTTAATTTCTAGTCGTATCAGATAATCTCTAAGGCCTCTCCTAGGTTTTAACATCTATAATGAAGCTAAGTTATTGTTACTGAATGTGCTTATTATTTGTAAGAAAGCCATTTAGAAGATCATGACTCTGGAGGTGTTTATGCTGGGACCTTGGACATATTGAAAGTAGAAAGTCTGCTTCCTAAAGACTCCACACTCTCACTTGTAGCAGAATAAGCATTTTTAAAGGCATAAATAAAGAAATGTTTAATATGGACAATTTTAAGAAAAATTTTCCTTGAATTCTGTTGGACTTGTACCTTATAAAGCATGAATAGAGTTAACCGCAGGCTGTGAAGCATTTGGCTAATGCCCTCTAGCTATTCCCTTTGGGGACCGTTTGAATTCTGTTTTTTCATGGAAAAGAGAAGGGAATGGGAGTAGGGTGCTTCAGAACTAGTCATTCTTAAGTCTGTGTGCCTCAATATTTCCTAGTTAATAATAGAGAAAAAAACAGAGAGACAGACAAAACTACAGATGAACAACTCACTCAATATAATTGGAGATAAAGTATGGCTTAATTTTAGAATAAATACAAACAAAAAGATAATAAGAAAAACATAGAAGAAAAAATCACCAATGGCAGTAAACAATCTCTTATGTTCCTACCATGTCACAAGACTTTGAGGACAAGCAATTAGTCTGAGAAAAAGTAGGGGGAGAAACAAGAAGGAAGCTAGTGACCTGAGTAAAGTTGAGCCAGTTTTACTCAGAAAATACTAACGTGACTCAGTACGTCAGAGCATGGATGGTAGAGACGGAATTTACAAGGACATGCTATTAGAAATGACAGTGCTCAAGAGCTTTAAGGGAGGAAAAAGGCAAAAATGAGGGAGGAGCACCTTTGGCGATTAGGCAGAAAGAGGAAAAGTGAAAGGGAAAGACACCCGTTCCTCCTTCAACCACACACACGAGCCAAAAATTCACTAAGGAATCTAGAGGTTGATACACTGACAGAAGAATATACTCTTGTAACTAATAATCTTGTAAACCACCCCAGATCCACAGAATGAACAGAAAGAAGAATGCTGAGTAAATCCAGTCAAAATTACCATACCATATCAGAAAATATGACTCAGCACATCTGAGAAATCAGCTCAGAATGACCATTTCCAAGGAACAACCTAGTAAAATTATTAGACTTCAAAAAAAAAAAAAAAAAGACACAAAGAAACCTCTCAAGGCCCCCAGGCAAAATATCAAAGTATGTTAGACTTATTAAAATCAAACAAGGAAAAACAGTGTCAAGAGTGAGGGTAGAAGGCGAATGCACAGATGTTATTTTTTTTAATCAAAGCAGAAATAAAGCACTTAAATATTAGTGGAGAAGAGAGGGAGTAGAAAGTAGAATAGATTTATTTATTGTTAAATAGGCAATACATAGAATTTGAAAAATAATATTAGAAAGTAACAAGTCAGAGGATAAAATCACAAGACTAGATAAACTCTAAACTGAATTTTGATTCAAACCTGTTTTCCAAAGAATGCATAAGACAGAAGGCATTATAGAAGATATAAACTCAAAGGTAACCATTAAAATAAAAATACAATTCTTCTTAATTATCATTTTTAATTGAAGAGCAAATAATACACATTTTATAAAAAAATAAGCATATCAAGTATGATCTAACATACATAATTCTAAAAATATTATAATAGAATTGAGACCAACAGAATTGAGGCATAGTAATCATATCCATAAATGGGAATTAATTTGTAAAATAATGTGATTTTCACTTTGTTTACAAAGCAACACACAGACATATGCTGTATACAAGGGACACAATTAAAACAAAATAATTAGAAACACAAACAAATGAAATAGGCAAAGGTACACTGAATCCATAGAAAAAGTAAGAAAGGAAGCATTTGAACTTGCTATCAGATAAAGCAGTATTCAGGCCCCAAAAAAGCAATAAAACTTATGAGAGATACTTTTTAATGCTAAATGGCACAAGTCAAAATGACCATATGAAATATATGAATATAAATTGTAGAACATACATAGAAACACAAAGCAGATCAAATGGACAAACCAAAAGTAATTAAGGAGCCAGGAGACCTAAATAACATAATCAATACAAGAGATGTTATCATCATATACCAAAATGTAGGCCCTGATAATAGAAAATGCACTTTCTTCTCAGGTGCTTATAGAGCATTTATGAGGTTTTTCATACACTAGTACACAAGGAACACATCAAAATGTTCTATAATGCAGAAAAATTGCCAACAATATTCTCTGATTACTGTGCAATGTAACTACCAATTATTAACAAATCAAAAAATTAAAAGGCCCTTCCACCAGGAAATAGTTTAAAGTCGTCCGATTAGACAACTCTTGGGCGAAACAAGGGAATACAGATTGAAATGGCAGAATTTAATAAAATAAAGCACTACATACAGCACCCCTGGGGTGTACTTGATGCAGTGGTCAGAGGGAAATTCATAACACAAACTCTTTCACCAGTAGAAAGGAAAGAATGAAAACAAATTAAATACCCAGCTCAAAAAACCCGAAAACAGTCAAGCAAAAGAAAGCTCAAGGGAGGACATAACAAAACTGAAAGTTAACAAGGCAGAATATTATAGGAAAACAATAGATTTGGGTGTGTGTTTGTGTGTTGATGTAAATGGGTGTGCATGCGTGGAGGGGAGTGGTTCAAGGAGAGTGGAGCGGTGTCCTCTTTCAGACTTGAGAAATTCTATGGCAAACACAGGTTTCACTCAACGAGAAAAAATGCACGTGTGTTTATACACACCGACACATATATATGATTTTTTTTCTGTAATTCATTGTTTTACAATGAATTACATTTCAATTGGGAAAATATCTGAACTGTGATAATTACTGAAATGACAAGTGAGAACTAACACTATTAAAGCCCCAGCAGATTTTCTGTGTTTTAACAGTGATAATTGATTAGAACTCACGCTCTCTGGTTGGTGCCTAAGCCCTTTAGGGCTGCAGCTGACTCAACACCACTCAGACCATGGCTAGGGTCCCGACTGCATCCTGACCTCCCCGCAGGGGTGGCCAGCATTTTGGCATTTCTGGGCCACACTGGACGAGGAAGAGTTGTCTTGGGCTACATGTTAAATACATTGTGACATGTAATCACAAAAAAAAATCTCATACTGTTTTAAGTAAATTTATGATTTTGGGCCACATTCACAGCCATCCTGGGCTGCATGCAGCCTGTGGGTCACAGATTGGACACCCCTGCTAGAGAGCCTTGGATTCTCATGGTCTTTTTAGCCAGAGCTCAGGTTGTCGGCAACTTTGCAATGCTGAAACTGAACCTCTGAAATGGGTGGACTCTTCCCAAGCAACTTAGCTATATTGGCAGCGGCTGGACAATGTTCCTCATTAATATCTATCTGTCAGTGTAATCATCACATCAATGCATGGTGGTGGCAGGGACTCAGCTCTGAAATCTATATAGAAAAAGCACTTGGACCTCAGTCTTTCAACGGCTTCAAGATAGTCAGAAGTGACTACCCTGGAGCCTAGTGGGCCTCTATGCAAGATGTCCCTGCCCATGGGGATGTGCCACCCAGCATTCAGCTTTGATAATACCCTGGAGAACCCTGCACCCATGACTCCTTCTCCATTGGACATGGCCAGCATCCCCTAGAAACCAGTGCTTCCAGAGCGCAAATATCAGCACCTCTCCAATGTGGAGGAAGGAGGGGCCCATGTCTCCTCCACTGCCATGACCCTGTCATTAGCCACTGACAGTATGGACAAGGTCCCTGCGGTAGAGGCTAAAGCCAACCATATCATCATGAAGTCTCTCATCACAGAACAGACCCAGGGGAGCATTCAGCATTTTGAGCGACAGGCTGGGAGAGATGGTAGCCACATACGCACAAGGGCCTTCCCACTGAGGAGACCAAGTACCTTCGAGTGGCAGGAGCACTCCACAAACTAAAACTCAGAGTGGATAGAGAACGAGAGAAGAGAAGCAGCCGGCCTCAGCCCAGTCCACCCCCAGCAGCACCCGCACTTCCCCTATGCGGAAGCCCAGAGGCTGATTCTCTTCTGCCCTTCCACAGCCTTACCTGGCCCAAATCTTAGCAGCATGGACAGAAACTCGCCAGACAAATGAAGACCCTTTTGAGCAAGATCTCTCCAGAAGTGGGATTCAGGAGGTTTTGCCACCCATCCTCAAAGAGGAGCCCAGAAGCCTTCTCCAACGGAGCTGATCCACACACAGGCCACCTGAATGACCAAAGATCCAGCAACCTTCAAGCTGCCCAAGATGGACATACCAGTGATTGAAGGGAAGAAACAACCATCACAGACCCATAATCTCATATCTTGTGACTTGAATTTGCTCACACCCACCAGCTTCTAGAGCTTTTTCTTCCAATGACTCTGGATAGAGCGTGTCTTGCACTCACTCCCCTATTACCCTGGCTCTGAAATAGGAAGGAGTTTTTTTTTTTTTTTTTTTAAAAACATCTTAAACAAAGGCTGGAACAGGAGACATAATTGGGTTTTGAGTAACATTAGAGCAAAGCCTGTCCTTGCATGGA